CCTCCTCAAAGTGCTAGTTCAACCCTTAATCGTTGATACGAAAACAGCCCCTAGAACGGGTGTTTTCCGGCTAACTCGATTCCTAGTTTTCCAATATTTGCATCTAGGTTAGTATCTAACCTTTACATCAATAAAATAACTTTATAAGGACATATTATACATTTGGATTAGTGTATAATAGTCTCACCAATCGTTCATATCATTTGGAGAATGAAAAGTAAAGCTTTGGGGTTAAAACTCACTTTCGAAGATTAAATCCTCTCCTGCGAGGTTGCGTTTTTCTCGGACGATTTGGAAGTCTTCCACAACTCCGATTCCTGCAAACCAGGCCTTCACAGATTCCTCGTCTTGAGAGCTTTCTTTTGGTATATCATACGCCTTATTTGGACGAGTGAAGCTCAAGTTATGGATCAAACAAGAGACCCTATCTGCTGGAAAACGAATCCTGCGGCCAGCTTCTCTCTTCTCTTCTCCCTTGGAATATGTGGCTCCCTCTTTCTCTCTTATCTTGGGAGTTCGAATGGGGTGTAGGGGAAATGTATTAGGAAGGCCTCAATCATGCTAAGAGAGCATGTGGTTCACAAAAAAAAGAAGGGTGGGGTATTTGATTGCAATCAAACATGGTATGGACCTCCTCTTTTATTTCCTTTTTGTAATGTTGTAGCTCATGAGTCAAAAGTCCGCCCCACATAGTTGTCTCATCCATTTTTCTTTGTCTTTGCAGGTACCAAGGTCATGTGGGATGGTTCCCAAATGATCCCATTTAATTTGGGGTCCAAAATATCTACCAATACTTCCAAAAATGGGAAGATGGGTCCTATTGTTTTATCTTTGTCAAAAGATGTCTTTTTTTTGTACTCATTCTAATTTATTTAGAGCAAGTCAACTTCCTAAATCACATTATTGATCTCGAATATGTGTAGGCTCATCCCAATAATTTACATGATGAAAATTACAAAAGAATGCGGGTTTGAACAATACAATATTCAATCATGTACTTCGTAAAATATTAATCGTTTCTTCCATTGCTTTGAAATCGGAAATTCAATACATCACTTTTGAATTTTTAAATCGAATTTTCAAGGACGTTCGGGTGCGGTGTCACAAGTTCACCCCCCCTTAACAGGAATTTCGTCCCCGAAATTCCCAGCTCTACTCGAATAGGAAAGCATACTGCTTCCTCATCAAAGCCTCCGTTTCCCATGTCTCTTCCTCGACCCGATCGCTCTTCCACAGGACTTTAACCATTGGGACTTCTTTGCTCCTCAGCTTCTTCACCTTTCTATCGGTGACTTTGATAGGTTGAACAGCGTAGTTCAAATCCTCACGTACCTCTACAGGTGGCTTCTCCAATACGTGAGAGGGATCATGCACGTACTTCTTAAGCATGGATACATGAAACACATTATGTATCTTCTCTAACTCAGGAGTCAATTGTAGACGATATGCAACGGCCCCAATCCTCTCTATAATTCTGAATGGACCTATATATCGTGGGTTAAGTTTTCCTCGGGTTTGGAACCGAATGATCCCTTTCCAAGGAGAAACTTTCAAGAATACCTCGTCATCAACCTTAAACTCTAAGGTTCTTCGACGCTTATCTGCATAACTCTTTTGTCTATCCTGAGCCGCCTTGAGTCTCTCTCGAATCAACTTCACCTTTGATTTGGTGACCTCCACCAACTCAGTACCCTCGAGTTTGGCCATGCCAACCTCGTCCCAGCATAACGGTGTACGGCACCTCCTCCCATACAATGCCTCGTATGGAGGCATGCCGATGCTTGCCTGATAACTGTTGTTATAGGCAAACTCCACAAGTGCTAAGTGGTTGTCCCAACTCCCCTGAAACTCCAATGCACAAGCCCTCAGCATGTCTTCTAGGATCTGTATAACCCTTTCAGACTGCCCATCCGTCTGTGGATGGAAAGCAGTGCTGAACTTCAACTTCGTTCCCATAGACTCCTGGAATTTCAGCCAAAAACGTGATGTGAATCGTGGGTCTCTATCAGATACAATGGTCACCGGGACCCCATGCAGCCTCACGATCTCATCCGTATACAATTTGGCTAACCTCTCAAGTGGGTAGGTAGTGTTGATAGGCAAGAAGTGTGCACTCTTTGTGAGCCTATCCACAACGACCCAAACCGCGTCATAGTTCCTGATAGTCCGTGGTAAGCCTACCACGAAATCCATAGTCACGTGCTCCCACTTCCATTCAGGGATGGAGAGTGGTTGCAATAAGCCTGCTGGGTGCTGATGTTCTGCCTTAACTTGTTGACAAGTAAGGCACCGACTGATGTACTCGGCTATTTCCCTCTTCATTCCAGACCACCAGTAACTTTCCTTCAAATCACGGTACATTTTCGTGCCCCCCGGGTGCATGGCATAAGCCGATGAATGAGCCTCCTCTAAGATGGACTTTCGGAGCTCATCATCTGACGGTACACACACTCGGTCACGAAATAACAAGAGACCATCATCTCTTTCCCTGAAATCCTCCACCGGCCCCGCTTGCATGCGTTCCCGGACCTTCATAAGTTCTTCGTCGGCTTCCTGACCCTTATTGATCTCATCAAGTAAAGTGGGTCTCACCTCAAATCGTGCCAATAAGGCACCATCGCTGGTTACCTCCAGTTGGGCTCTTAATGCCCTCAAATTAGTTATCAATGCCCCAGACGAGCTCTTCCGGCTCAAAGCATCTGCCACCACGTTTGCCTTGCCTGGGTGATACTCTATCACTAGATGGTAGTCTTTTATCAGCTCCATCCACCGTCTCTGTCTCATGTTTAGCTCTTTCTGAGTAAACACGTACTTCAAGCTCTTGTGATCAGTGTATATGTGACATGTCTCCCCGTAGAGATAATGTCTCCATATCTTCAGTGCAAATACCACTGCCCCGAGCTCCAAATCATGAGTAGGATAATTCACCTCATGCTTCTTCAATTGTCGTGAAGCATAGGCGATTACCCTCCCATTCTGCATCAGTACACATCCGAGCCCTTGGATGCTCGCATCGCTATAGACATCGTACCCCACACCTTGTTTGGGTAATGCAAGTACCGGTGCCTCAGTCAATCTCTTCTTTAGTTCCATGAACCCTTTCTCACATTTGTCATCCCATACAAACTTAGCTCCTTTACGAGTGAGCTTCGTCAATGGCGATGCCAAAACAGAGAACTTCTCCACGAACTTTCTATAGTAGCCTGCCAATCCAAGGAAACTACGAATTTCCTTGACGTTCTTTGGCCTCTCCCATTCAGTAATGGCTTCTATCTTCTTGTTATCAACAGCAATCCCCGATCCCGAAACCACGTGCCCGAGGAAGCCAATCTCCTTTAGCCAAAATTCACATTTAGAAAATTTGGCATAGAGTTGCTTCTCCCGTAGTGTTTCAAGAACAAGTATCAAGTGCTCCTCATGCTCTTCTTCACTCTTTGAGTAAATCAAGATGTCATCTATGAACACAATCACGAATCGATCCAAGTATTTATGAAATACTCGGTTCATCAAGTCCATGAATGCCGCCGGGGCGTTTGTTAACCCAAACGACATAACAAGGAACTCAAAATGCCCATACCTTGTGCGGAAAGCACTCTTTGGTATGTCATCTTCCTTAATCTTCAATTGATGGTACCCCGACCTTAAGTCAATCTTCGAAAACACGGTTGCTCCTCGTAGTTGATCAAACAAGTCATCAATCCTAGGCAACGGATACCTATTCTTGATTGTGACCTTGTTCAGTTGACGATAGTCAATGCACATTCGAAGTGTCCCATCTTTCTTTTTCACAAAAAGAACCGGTGCTCCCCACGGGGAGTGGCTTGGTCTAATGAAACCGTTATCCAAAAGCTCTTGCAATTGGGTTTTCAACTCGTTAAGTTCAGCGGGTGCCATCCGGTATGGCGGTATGGAGATTGGTTTGGTACCAGGCTCGACCTCGATCACAAATTCAATCTCTCTGTCAGGTGGAAGCCCCGGTAGGTCTTTAGGGAAGACATCCGGATACTTACAAACCACCCTCACATCATCGATGTTCGTTTCCTCTTTGGTTTTGTCAACCACGTATGCTAGATATGCGTGGCATCCCTTCCTCATCATATTTCTCGCTCTCACGGCGGATATGATACAACTATTTGATTTGCCGCGGTCCCCCTCGAAGCGTAGGGTGTCCCCATGTGTGCCTTCGAGTTCCAACACCTTTGTGTAGCAATCTACCCTAGCATGATGCTTTTCTAGCCAATCCATCCCTAGGATTGCATCGAACTCCATCATACTCAGCGGTACGAAATCACACGTCAAGGTTTGGCCACCGATTTCCACCATACAAGATGGATAGTAATTGTTTCTTTCAACGTCTTCCCCTAGTGGGGTTGATACCACTAAGGTTTGTGTCATTGGTATTGATGGCATCTCTAAGCTCTCGGCAAACGCCTCACTCACGAATGAACGTTGCGCTCCGGTATCGATAAGGATTCGTGCATCCTTCCCGTTAATCTTTAGTGTCCCTACATTCATGAACCATGTAAGACATCTTTCCTACCCTCCCTACTCATTTATAGAAGGTTGCAATGTTCACACGCACGTTAGGGATCAAGAAGAGGCCTTAACGTCGCAAAACGATGCGAAAAAATCGGGTTTCGGCAATCTGGGTGCCAGGCACGGCGTGCCCGGGGTAGGCACGATCGTGCCTGGCTCAGGAAAACGCCCTGGGGCTACTGCCTTGGAGGCACGATCGTGTCTGCCTTAGGCACGATCGTGCCTGGGTTGGAAAAATCCTGGGAACCACTGACTTGGAGGCACGATCGTGTCTGCCTTAGGCACGATCGTGCCTGGTTTGGAGAAAAACCCTGGGCAGCTACTGCCTTGTAGGCACGATCGTGTCTGCCTTAGGCACGATCGTGCCTGGGCTGGGAATATTCCTGGGCAGCTACTGACTTGGAGGCACGATCGTGTCTGCCTTAGGCACGATCGTGCCTGGGTCCCAGCCGCCTGAAGTTGCCCGAAATCCCCCGGTTCGACCCCAAAACCTCGTACAATGATCCTAGCGATTAGTATCCTCAATTTATGGACTAATTAAGGATAAAACACTAGTATATGAGAGGCAATACCTGCAACGGAGTCCGGGTTAGCTTGAGCATCCGCCTCCGTCATCGCATAGACCCTAGCCTGGGTCCTCCCTTGGTTCACGGATGGCGCGTTGCTCGCACTTGCTCCCCCTTGCCCCCTGCTTGCTTGAGAAGCCCCGGTCTGATTCCGTGTACCCGTCGGGCCACTACTTGGTCCCGATGTCCTTGCCCCGCCCAGTTGTGGGCAATGTGCCTTCAAATGCCCGGCATCCCCACATTGGAAACATCTAGGGGGGTCGCGACATTTACCGGAATGGTTCCTCTTGCAATTGTTGCAACGAGTTACCACTGAGGTCTGTGACCTCGAGCCTTGCCCACTTGGGCCTTGGTTCCCCCTTGATGGTGGCGGTGGTGCCCGGAAAGATCCTCCTCCGTGGTTCCCCCTTTTGTTGGAACCTTGGGAGCCATGACTCTCCCATTTTCTCTTTTTCGCCTCTTCGGCGTCTCTCTTCTTCCGTTCCTCCCACTGTTTCTCCCCTTTCAATGCTTGTTCAACCACTTGGGCGAAAGTCATATTAGGCAATTGCGTTGCCCTATCACGTATCTCCAAGTCAAGAGCGTCCCAAAAGTGGTTCACCATGCGGTTCTCGTCACAAGCATACTCCGGTATGTAGTCGGCGAGATCCCGGAACTTGTACTCAAGCTCCTTCACTGACATGTTACCCCCTTGGGTTAGGAGGGTGTATTCCCTCACCTTCTTATTCACCTCGAAATCAGAATAGTATTGGGCAAAGAACTCCCGTTGGAAGTCCTCCCAAACGACGGTCTCACCGTACTTGTTCTTGGTTCCATCCCACCACTTGGATGCCATCCCCTCGAGCAATCTTACCGCAATTCTCAGTTTGAGATTCGGCGCGATTTGCATGTCAAGGGCCGCTTCATTTAGCCTCTTGATCCATTGTGCTGCCACTGAAATGTCCCCTGCTCCATCAAAGGGTTTGCACCCCAAATCTCTTGCTTCTTTGATGTATTTGGAGATCCTTATGGTTGGACCTCCATCATTTTGGCCTCCACGTGGTTCCACATGGACTCTAGATGCACCATGACTTCCGCCTCGTGAAGCCATGCCCGAAGGTTGCCCAGCCCGGCGCCTTCGGCGTTCCCTCCTCTCTTCACGCTCACGGTGATATTGTTGGAGTAGTGCCTCAATCCGCGCTAAGGAGCCGTTGTCCTCCTCATCACTTACATCATCATCATCCCCTTCATAAGGGGTCTCAACCGGCTCTGTCTCCGGTTGGTAAGTCGAGTCCTCATAGGACCAGTAGGTCTCACTTTCCGTGTCAACATGACCGTCACTCACGGTCTGTGATCGGCCTCCACGGCCAGCTCCTCTAGATGCCCTAGAGGTCCTTCGACTGCCCTGTCCAGTCTCCACTGGTACACGGCCCGTCGGGTTTCTCCTAGTAATCCTGCCACCACGGTCCATTTCTGAAAGAAATTTGGAAAGAGTCGTTAGACTCGTATCAAATGTCAATTGACGGATAGGTACTTAAGACACATTTTGGCTCGAGTCACCGTCATACCAATTGCTAAGGGTACCATCTTAACAATTAGAGACCTTGCAACCCAAGTACCAAAAGCTCTCCAAGTACAAAACTTCTATGCTCATGGTTTTCAAAATCTTTTCAAAAGAGAATTTTGAGACTTCATTATGAAGTTTATGGGACCTGGCTCTGATACCAACTTAATTGTCATGCCCCGGACCTCCCTGGACACGTCAACAACCCGCCGTACAATACGAATAGTCAACCGCAGTCCAACACATTCATATTATACAAGGCGTCATGAATATCATTCACACATAAGTCATCCATAAACATACATAATAAACAATTGAATACGCAGCGGAAAACATTGTTTAAAACAAAAGGGCCACACAGGGCAAACATGAGCACGCAGGCTCTAAAGTAAGATATCCATGAGCAAGTTTAGTATTATTTAGAAACAGAATGGAGGAAGCACGAACCAAGTCTTCTCTCCAAGGAATCACTCGATCAACGAGCACAGGAAGCAAGCTCTAGCCTCAACCTGAAATGGTGGTGGGACGCCCCCGAAGGGGTCAGTACTCTATATGGCTATAAAGTACTGGTGTGGCAGGCATCTAATAGATATACAACAAGTATTTCAAACACAAGACCCTCAAGTAGGGTGATAGTACATTATGATTGTAACCCTAAGTTACCCCGTTTAAAAATATACTTACTTTATATAAAAGTCAAGTAGTCGGCCCGTGGGCCCGTTTTCATTTGGAAATCACCATTCCCAACCCCGTGGCTATAAGCCACGACAACTCCTAGAGTCCAACCCTAGTACATGACATTGTATTCTAGAGCTCGGCTCTACCACATCACCATACAATTCATATACCTCGGGTCAATTTCCTTACCTTGCGTTCTAGAGCTCGGCTCTACCACATCACCACGCAAGTCCTAGAGCTCGGCTCTAGCTATACAATACATAGACTACAAGTCTACACCTTACATGCATTCTAGAGCTCGGCTCTACTACATCACCATGCATTAAGGTCCAATTCTCAAGCAACCCTATGCCTAGAATTGACATATCAATAAACTACCATGGGTCATCCTTAAAGACTTCCCATAACTTAACCTTAGTTCCATACTAAGTATTATATACACTTGAACTATATTCAAGTACCTTTCATACAATCCGATCCCTAGGATCAATTTAATCAACAAGTCCCAATAATCACTAACTAGTATTTCAATACTATTAAGATTATTGTTATCATACCATTATCCTCATTATTTGTAATTCTCCACATATTTATAATTATGTAGCAGCAACTTAAGTATTAAATCTCAATACACAAATATTCATTTATGTATCCACATAATTCATACATGAGCAAAATGCCTATTTCACAAAAATAGTTCATTTATACTCATTTAATCTCATAATATTCATACATTCTCAAATCATTTCAAATTTCATTCTTTGGCAACTATATCAATATTTCATCAATATGTAACCATCATAATTCATGGAAAATAATGATTTAAGCATTTAGGTAATCTCATGCTTAACCTACAAGTTGTAAGCAATTAGATGTCAATCCTCACCTCAATTGAGCTTTAAACTTTCCCTTCTTGGTCCAATGGTCAAATCTTTGGTCAAGGTGGATTTGGGACTGATTCCTTGCTCAAATATGAGTGTTAAACAGCCTCCTCAAAGTGCTAGTTCAACCCTTAATCGTTGATACGAAAACAGCCCCTAGAACGGGTGTTTTCCGGCTAACTCGATTCCTAGTTTTCCAATATTTGCATCTAGGTTAGTATCTAACCTTTACATCAATAAAATAACTTTATAAGGACATATTATCCACTTGGATTAGTGTATAATAGTCTCACCAATCGTTCATATCATTTGGAGAATGAAAAGTAAAGCTTTGGGGTTAAAACTCACTTTCGAAGATTAAATCCTCTCCTGCGAGGTTGCGTTTTTCTCGGACGATTTGGAAGCCTTCCACAACTCCGATTCCTGCAAACCAGGCCTTCACAGATTCCTCGTCTTGAGAGCTTTCTTTTGGTATATCATACTCCTTATTTGGACGAGTGAAGCTCAAGTTATGGATCAAACAAGAGACCCTATCTGCTGGAAAACGAATCCTGCGGCCAGCTTCTCTCTTCTCTTCTCCCTTGGAATATGTGGCTCCCTCTTTCTCTCTTATCTTGGGAGTTCGAATGGGGTGTAGGGGAAATGTATTAGGAAGGCCTCAATCATGCTAAGAGAGCATGTGGTTCACAAAAAAAAGAAGGGTGGGGTATTTGATTGCAATCAAACATGGTATGGACCTCCTCTTTTATTTCATTTTTGTAATGTTGTAGCTCATGAGTCAAAAGTCCGCCCCACATAGTTGTCTCATCCATTTTTCTTTGTCTTTGCAGGTACCAAGGTCATGTGGGATGGTTCCCAAATGATCCCATTTAATTTGGGGTCCAAAATATCTACCAATACTTCCAAAAATGGGAAGATGGGTCCTATTGTTTTATCTTTGTCAAAAGATGTCTTTTTTTTGTACTCATTCTAATTTATTTAGAGCAAGTCAACTTCCTAAATCACATTATTGATCTCCAATATGTGTAGGCTCATCCCAATAATTTACATGATGAAAATTACAAAAGAATGCGGGTTTGAACAATACAATATTCAATCATGTACTTCGTAAAATATTAATCGTTTCTTCCATTGCTTTGAAATCGGAAATTCAATACATCACTTTTGAATTTTTAAATCGAATTTTCAAGGACGTTCGGGTGCGGTGTCACATTCCCTACCCCAGCCCCACCCTGGTCCCGACCCCACCCTACCGCCATCCTATCCCAACTCCCTACCCTACCCCTACCTTAACCCAACCCCAAACCCCACCCACTACCCCCACCCTTACCGCCACCCTACCCCCACCCTACCCCTTCCCTACCCCGGCCCCACCCTGGTCCTGACCCCACCCTACCGCCATCTTATCCCAACTCCCTACCCTACCCCTACCTTACCCCAACCCTACCCACTACCCCACCCTTAACCCTAACCACGACCCTAACCCACCCACTACCCCCACCCAACCCCCTACCTCTAGACCTTACCACCCCACCCCGACCATACCCCTTACCTCACCCCCACCCATAACTTCTCTACCCGACCCCTACGAGTAGGTATGGGTGGGTATAAAGGGTTGTGGTGGAGTATGAGTAGAGTGTAAGATCGTGGTAAGGGTAGAGGTAGGGGTCAAGGGCGTGGAATTGGAGAACTGTGTGAAAAAATTGATGAACATGTTTTCAAATTTGAAAATGGAAAACTAAAAAATAGAAACAGAAAATTGGAGATAGAAAAACTGAAAAATAAAAACAGAAAATTGGAGAATGAAAAACAGAAGTAGAAAACAGGAAAAAATCTCTGTTAGTAAACAGGCCCTTATATTTTTACATGTCCTCATTGAATACCCCGAGTCCCGGGCAAAGACATTTAAAATGTTTCAAACTATCTTAATTAAATACATCAATATTTTGAAATCCTTATAGTTGTAACTGGAAAATTCTAGAGGGAGCATCCGAGCATGTACTCTGTTAACGAAGACAATTTCTTCATAAAGGATGACACTCCATCCTCGAGGGCATCCCAAAAAGGATGACACTCATGAACAGAGAATGAGATTTTATTTCAAAACATTGTTTGAAGTTGAACTCATGACATCTCTCTTATGGTATACCATTCCTATCTGGTGAGCTACACCCCTGCTTAAGATAATTTCTTCATTGCGTTTGGTTGCACTTGCTTTACGTTTTACTCTATGTTTTGCTCCGTACGTCTTTATTTACTGATGAAGCAGGTTACAATTAAACAAGGTGACAACTTCGGTGCCCATTAAAAAAATGAGGTACCGTACCTATCATGCATTTGATTGGTCCAAATCATTATATCACTTATAATTTAGATTTAAATAATTCAACTGCATCATTCTGATTGGTCCATGTAGAAAAGTTATGGTACCTTATGGGTACCATAGAATCTATCATTAAACAATGGTAAAATGAGTGAATTCTCAAAATATGATTAAAATAACTCAAAGTATAAGAGCACGTTTGGTACCAAGAAAAAAAAAATTAAAATATATTTTATTAATTAAATAAAGAAAAAAATATATGTTAAAATAGCTAAAATGGTCATCTACAATAACGTCAGCCAATACAGCCAGAAAAGTAACTCCAACCTTATTTTTTCTGCTTATTACACAATTCAGCGTGTGAAAGCAAAAATTACGTGTTTGATGAAAAAGTTGGTTGATAAGCCTGATAAGCCGAAAAACAGTGTTGCCAAACGTTCTCTAAAAATAGGAGTCCTAACGTAAAATTTTATACCACGTTAAAAGAAGCAATAATTTGTGATGGGACCAAATCACATTGGGAGGTGCTGAAACATAGTCACCGAATCGCCCTCGCTGGACTCACAATTCCAGACTTTAACCAAAGTTACCAAACCCAGATTGGATCATTGTAGACCCAAGTTATACCGCGCAAAACATTGTGTCATTCCAAGCGTATACCCAAGTTATACCGGCAAAACATTATACGTACAACCAGTGACAATTTTGTAATTTTGATGAAGTTCATGATTTCTCTTAAATGAACATTGATGTAATCTGGTTTAGTATCGAGTCTGTTCTTCTGAGTATTAGGAGCCTAACAATGAGCACCAATGATATCTGCTTCATATCTTCTAATTCATGTTCTTTTTATTATTTTTTCGTTTATAAAAAATTCTTAAATTATGTTTATAATTAATTTCAATATGTGAATCTAATAATGTAGTATGATATGTTTGATAGGTGCATCATTTTAAAATGAGCATAAAGCAGTACCACATGAGCATACATAATTTTCAAAATGAGTATCAAAAAATTTAAAAGCTCATTTGTGTATGCTCATTGATTTTGGGCATTATATTTGATACGTGCATCATTTTAAAATGAGCATAAAACATTACCAAATGAGCATACACAATTTACAAAACGAGTATAAAATATTTCAAAAGCTCATTCGTGTATGCTCATTGATTTTGGGCGTTATACTCATTTAAGTTTAACATAAAACTCATTTTTAATGTGTTTAATGTTCAGTTGTGTATGTTCATTTTTTTTAGACGTCTAGTCATATGTTCATTTCTTATATGTGTATTGCTTCCGGAGTGCTGTGACCATTCTAGAGGAGAAGGGGACCAGCAACCAGACGAAGCGAAGGGCCATCTCCGTTTTGGTTTTTCGGGTGACGAAGTAACTAGACGAAGCCACATCGAAGAATCAGACGAGATCGGAAAAGGTGGTGCAATTGTGCAAAAGTTGAATTGTTCTTCTGTGCTAAGCCGAGAAGCGCAGACAGCGGTAAGTCTTGAGTTCGACTCCTATACTTGAGCCAGCCAGAACCTCTTTTATCATCTTCACACGGGTGAATGGCGTCTCTCTCAATCCACACAGCCGGAAACTCCCTCAAACTCATCCTACCGTCCTCACTCCATTCCCACTGCCCCTCTCAACTTTCTTTCAAGTCCCTTTGCTCTTCTGCTCCCCGCTACCGCACCAAAACTAACAGAGCCGCTCACTCGCGGCGGAGCACTACCCGTCACCCTCCGCCATCCAGACTTCCCAGAACCCGCAGAGACAACTACCAAAAACACCCCACTACCGTTGAACGCGATAGCGGTCCATTGCTTCCAGACGCCAATAGTCCGCAGGAACTCAAAATCGACTTGATTAGTTTATGCAATGAAGGAAAGATTGAAGAAGCGATTGGATACATTTCACGAGGCTCGAGTCCCAGTTTTCGTGTTTTCGAGTCGATTTTGGATTTGAGCATCAATTCTGGTTCCTTTGAGCTTAGGAAAAGGGTTCATGAGCTTCTGGAGCAGTCTGGTTACAGTAGCAATCTCGAATTGAGTGGGAAACTGGTTGAGATGCACGTGAAGAGCGGGGACATGGTGAATGCGCGAAAGGTGTTTGATAGAATGACCCATCGGAGGTTGGAGCTTTGGAATCTTATGATAACTGGGTATGCAGATAACAGTGAAGGGGAAAACGGTCTGCTTCTTTTCGGGCTAATGAGGAAACTTGAGCCCAACAAACCCACTGAAGAGACATTCGTAGCAGTATTTTCTGCTTGTGCTAGTGCGGGAGCCATACAGGAAGGTTTGTTCTACTTCGAGTTGATGAAGAAAGGGTTTGGCATTGTCCCAGAAATTGAGCATTATTTAGGCGTTCTTGATATTTTGGGGAAAGCAGGCCATCTGCCTGAAGCTATGGAGTTTGTAGAGAACATTCCCATAAACCCTACCATTGAAGTGTGGGAAGCGATTCTGAATTTCGCTCGGATACACGGTGATATGGAGCTTGAAGATCGAGCCGAGGAGATACTGATAGGATTAGATCCCTCAAGGACTATTATAGATAAGGTTCCTGTTCCATTGCAAAAGAGGCACTCCGAGCTCAACATGCTTGAAGACAATAGACGGAATTTTGCTTTCAAGAATCCAAGTGCATACAAGGAAGCGTCATATAATAAGAGTGGGCAACATAGTGATTCAGTGTATGTACCAGACACAAGTTATGTGCTGCATGACATTGATGAGGAGGCCAAGGAGAAGGCTTTGATGTATCACAGTGAGCGTTTGGCAATTGCATATGGTCTCATTAAAACTCCTGCAAGGACAACTCTTAGAATCATGAAGAACCTTAGGATATGTGGTGACTGCCACAACGCGATAAAGGTCATGTCTAAGGTTGTGGGCAGAGAGCTGATAGTCAGGGACACCAAGCGCTTTCATCATTTCAGAGATGGTAAATGCTCTTGTAATGACTTCTGGTGAAAAAAATGGCATCTGGAGATTTTGCCCGAGAGTGATCTAAAACCAAAATGTATATAGAGTGTGAACCCATTGCTGTTGTCTGTTGATATTTGTGTTCTTCTGGAGATGACTAACGTATTGAATTGGGTTTCTAGAAATTTGTTTATACTGAAATTCATGTTTTTCTGACTATCTTGATGTCCATATTTCTTATGGAATGAAAGACACCCTTATTCGTAAAAGAGAGCAACAACGGTGAGCACAATTTTCTAGTAAAACACGGCTGCTACATACCACCTCATTGTCAAACCCAAGTCCGGCCGGTTCTGGGTGACTGGGTCCTT